GGAAACACGGGGCTCCGCGCTCCGCGCGTCGCTACGGGGCTCCGCGCTGCGCGCGTCGCTTCTAAATAAGACCACAACAACCTTAAGCCACGCCGCTCAGCGACGCGATGGCGATGAGGAGCTTCCGCCGGGGCCCGAGGGCGACGCCGATCTCGACGAGGTCCTGCTCGGTGACGAGCGCGAGCGTCGCGACGGTGTCGACGTCCTCGGCCTGGAGCCTCGCGCAGACGTGGGGCGGGAGGCCCTGCTTCGCGAGGAACGTCGCGAGGTCGTCGTCGCGCGACGGCGGCGCCGCGGCCGGCGGCGCGGCCGCCGCCGCGGCGCGCGGCGGCGGCGCCGCGGCCCGCGGCGCCGCGCGGCCGTTCGCGCGCTTCGCCGGCGCGCCGAGCGCCGCGGCGTGCGCGTCGACGAAGTCGCCGAACTTCTTGTACTTGCGCGCGACGGCGGCCTTCTCGTTCTTCGGGAATTTGATCGCCAAACGCATGAGCCACTGCTCCCGCGGGAGCGCGCCGGCGAAGCGGCCGGGGTCCGAGGCGATGAGGCGCCGCGCGAGCGCGACGGACGCCGCGTCGCCGTCGGCGGCCTCCGCCTTGCCCTTGCCCTTGGATTTGGGCGCCGCGGGATTCGGCGGCGTGCCGAGCTCCGCGCGGTGCGCGTCCGCGAAGGCGCCGAAGGAGCCGTGGGCGTCGCGGATGGCCTTCATCTCCGCGGGGTAGCGGCTCCCCAGCGACCCGCCGAGGCGGTCGCACCAGCCCTTGTGGGGCAGGCCCGCGACGAGCGGGTACGACGCGAGCCCCTTCACGAGCGCGACGCGGTCCGCGTCGCCGCCGGTCTTCGCGGGCGCCGGGGCCGGCGGCGCGGCGTCGGGGCCCGGCGCGCCGAGCTCGGCGGCGTGGGCCCGGGCGAAGGCCGCGAAGGAGCCGTGGCGCGCCTTGAGGCCCTTGACGACGTCGGGTCGACTCCCGAAGCGGCCCGCGAGCGTCGAGCACCAGCGCGCGAAGGGCACGCCCGGGCCCAGGTCGAGGTCCGCGATGTGCTCGAGGCACTTGGCGACGACGGCCGCGTCGTCCGTCGCGAGGTCCGCCTTGCCCTTCTTCTTCTTCGGGCCGTCGCGCGCCGCGTCGCGGACGGGCGCGTCCTCGCGGCCCTCGAGGTAGACCTTCTCGCCGCCGCCGCCGGGCAGGCGCGGGCCGAGGACGACGCCGTCCAGTGTGTCCATGTAGGCGCGGAAGGAGCCCTGGCCCAGGTAGGGGAAGTCCACGCGCTGGCGGTGCGTCTTCGCGTAGCGCTCGAGGACGGAAGCGAGATACATCGCGCCGCCCTCGCCGCCGATCATGGCCCGGATGCGCGCGGCCTGCACGTCCGGCGCCGCCGCCGGCGCGAGCTTGGCGACGGCACCCTTCGCGGGCGGCGGCGTCCTCCCGGGGCTCGCGGCGGCGGGCGCGGCCGCGGCGGGCGCCGAATCGAACTCCGGCGGCGCGACGGTCGCGCCGCAGAGGTCGAGGAGGTGCTCGACGACGAAGGCCTCGAGCGACCCGCCGCCGGCGGCCGTCGCCGACGCCACGAGGTCCGGCCGCGGCGTCAGCACGAAGCGCAGCGCGTGCATCCACCCGGCGAGGTCCTTGTTCTCGAACTCGGCGCCGTTGCCCTCGAGCCGCTTGTGCATCTCCCGGACGACGCTCATCGCCGCCATATGATCCTTTTGCGCGCGCACGGAGCGGCTGCGGTGCTGGCCCGACGCGCCGCGCCAACGCCGCTGCGAATGGCAAGGCGACTGGCGGTCGCCGATCTCTGATCTGCTCGTGCTCGGCCGGGCTCCGACGGCCGCCTCGAGGTCGCCTCGAAGGCCTCCTCGGGCAAGGTCGAGCACGTCCTCGAGCGCGCGCTGCCACCGCCGGGAGCCGCGGCACCGTCACGCCGCTCCGCACGGCGCCGAGCCCAGCTACCCCCCACAGGCGCCCACCTCGTTACGCGCCGCCGCCGCCCCGGCTTCTCGCGGCCGCGTCCTTCTCGCGCGCGCGGGCCCAGATGTCCGCGTCGCGGCCCGCCTGGGCCGCGCAGTAGGCCGCCGACTCGAGGCAGTTCTTCGCCGTGGCGGCGACGCTGGCCCAGGCGATCTTCGGGTGCTCGTAGTAGCGGAACGTCGACTCGCCGCCGCAGCGCGGCGTCGCCGTCGCCTGGGCAGCAAAAGAGTGATTCAACGTCGCTTCAACGTGAGTATTCCGCGCGCGCGCGTTCCAGGAAAAGCATCCACGCTTCGAGACCGTTCAGAGAGATGATCGATCGTCCAAAGATCATCCGAAACGAGTGGAAACCGGCCGAGAAAGGAGCCTTTGAAGTTGGCTATTTCGCTCTCTTGTGCTGCCCCGGCCGTCGCCGTCGCGGCGGCGTCGCGCTCGCCGAACATGAGGTCCTTGCGCCGGCGCGCGCCCGTCGCGCCGCGCGCGCCCGGCCGCCGCTCGCTCGCCCACTTGCGCTTCGCGTCGCTCGCCGCGTGGGGCGCGTGCGCGATCCACGCGCGCTTCGCCGCCAGGAACGTAAAATTCGCGTCGCGGAGGCTCGAGATCCAGTCGAGCTTGTTCTTGCCGTAGCCCGCGAAGCGCTCGTCGAAGAGCGGCGGCGGCGCCGGCTTGCCGCAGCTCCGCACGACGACGAAGGGCTCGTAGAAGTCGCCGACGAAGCACTCGAGGCGCAGCGGCGCCGGCTCGTCGTCGAGCGCGCTCGCGACGACCCTGCGGGCGACTCGCATCTTCAGACTTGAATACTTCGATGCGAGCGCTTCGGTCGTGCTTCGAGAGCAACCGGCTCGTCCAAACATCGGCCGAAACGACTTCGATGCGACCGGGCGGCGTTCCGCCGGTTGAATTCCGGCGCGGCTCCTCGCCACCGCGCGAAGCGCGTGGAGCCGTGGTGGTGGAAGGGGTGGCACCACGTGTCCTCGCCGTCGTCGTGGGCCGCCGCCGACGCGCGGGGCACGCCGCGCGCGGTCCGCCGGTAGCCCCGGTCGCGCCGGAGGCACCGGAGCAGGTCGTCGAGCGTCGCGGGCACCTGGGCAGGAAAAGAGAGATTCAACGTCGCATCAACGTGAGTGTTCCGCGCGCGCGCGTTCCGAAAAAAGAATTCACGCTTCGAGGCCGTTTCGAGAGATGATCGCTCGTCCAAAAATCAGCCAAAACGAGTGGAAAGCGACTGAGATAGGAGCCTTTGAAGTTGGGAATTTCGCACTCTTTTCCTGCCCTGGCGGGCACCTCGGACCCGTTGACCGTGCGCGTCTTCTCGCCGCCCCAGAGGGGCCCCAGGCGCTGGCCGTCGCCGTCGAAGCGCGTCGCGCCCCGGAAGTCGAGGGAGAACGCGGGCGCGACGATCGCGGTCCGTTCGCCCGCGGCGGCGACGGCGGCCTCGAGCGCGGCGCGCGCGCCCGCGCCGGGCCAGAAGTCGACGTCGACGACGAAGACGTGGGACGTCGCCGCGCCGCGCCAGGCCACGTTGCGCAGCCGGTTCACGGGGTACTCCTCGTCGGGCGCCGCCGCGCGGACGAACGCGATCGCGGCCCTTCGGCAGGGCCGCGTGACCGCGTCGACGGTCGGCGCCATGCGCCGCTCCTCGACGGCGTCCTCGACGTAGACGGCGACGGAGATGTCGCCGGTCCAGCGCTCGCAGATGGACCGCAGATTCCGCAGGCGCTCCACGGACGTCTGCGTCACGAGGGTGATGCCCCGCGGCGCGCCCCGCTTGCACGCCGACGTTTCCGCGCCCGCGGCGGCGGCGGCGGCGGCGAGCAGCGCGACGGCGCGCCGGCGGACCATGGTCGTCACGCGATCATCGGCAGCCCTCAGAATGGATATCGAAGGCCACCATAATGTTGGCAGCTGAAATCAGTGAAGTGCACGCCGGCGACGTTGAACGACGCCACGCGTGCAGAAGTCGCCCGGAAGTCCTCCGCGATGAGTGGACACGAAGAGAGCATGCGCACGGATGTGCCCGATCTGTTACCTGCGGTCAATGCGGCCAGCTTACCCGATTTTGCCAGTGACTATGGTGACATTTCCTTGATGCTTCATTGGAAACACATCGCTATGCGTTGTGAGAATCGCGTTTTGGCGCTCACCTCTTCTTCTCGGCGCCGAATCGAGACGGAATCGACAGAGTTGCAGCGCCTCAAAGAGACGCACCGGCACGAGGAACGTATGCTCGAATTAGAAATTATGCGCCTCCGGGCCGCGTCCGACGCGTCGGAAGTTTGCGAGGCCGGTGTCCGCAAGCGAAAGCGCAAGGATGAAGCAGAGGCGCCCCTTCTCGAATCGCGGACCTTGGCTCGGCTAGAGGCGGTCTTCGCGCAAGGAATCAAGATATTAGCAGAGCTGGAGCGGCATTTCGTTCGGCCGATCACCGGCGACCCGTCCGAACGCGCCGACCAAGAGAATCTTCGGTCGTACGCGCGGCTTTCGATTTTGCAAACGATGGTGGAGATTGACATCGAGGAGGAGCGCCGAGAGATGTTGAAGACGGGCGACCTCGACATCGCCCTGTGAGCATCGCTTGTTGAAGTCGCCCCCGGCCTCCGCGAAGTCGCGCCTCGGGGCCAGCCGCCCCGACGCCACCCGAGTCTGCGGACCGTATCGCCCCACGCATAGACTAGAGTGTTAGCAAACGCGGGGGGCATCACCGGCCGAACTTCGTGTAGACGGAGCGCTTGATCTGCGAGGACCGCGCGGGGTTGTTGAAGGCCGTGCTCGCGCGGCTGTTCGCCGCCTGCTTCATGGCGAGGGACTGGCGGCCGCCGTGGGCGGCGACGGCGGAGCCGATGGTCGCGCGGACGCTCTCCTCGATGCCGCCCTCGACCTTGCCGAGCACCGCGCGCTCGACCTTGGCCGCGATGAGCGTCGCGAGCGCGTCGACGTCCACGCCCGGCGCGAAGGACGTCGGCGACGCGCCGACGATGGGCGCCAGGTTCCGCTGGCCCTGCACGGGCGTCGTCGCCGCGCCGCGCTCGCCGACGACGATCGTCGCCGGCGACGCCGCGCCCGGGATGGGCGCGACGGCGCCGCCGCCGTCCTCGTCGTCGTCGTCGTCCTCCTCGACGAGCGCGTCGTCGAGGCCCCGGCGCTGGACGGTCCGGCCCTCGCGCTTCGCCTGCACGTAGTCGGCGACGTGGCGCAGGAAGCAGGCCTTGATGCGGTAGAAGGTCTGGGCGAGCCTCACGGCCTTGTTCTCCTCCGGGTAGCCCTGGTCGAGGATCGCGAAGAAGTCCGTCCGCTCGAGCGTGACGATCTCCGCGTACGTCAGCGACGACCCGTAGGTCTTGTCGATGTAGTGCGCGTGCTCGTCCCGAAGCACGAAGTCGTGGCCCCAGACCATGCCCTTGCCCATGGGCTTGCCGTTGCGCGCGACGATGCCGGAGTTGAGGATGCAGAGGCTGATGGGCACCTCGACGAGCTCCAGCGGCGCGAAGAGGCGGATCGTGAGGCACTGGCTCGCGTCGGCGATGAAGGTCGGGTTGATCTCCGCGAGCGTCGGCGGGCTCAGGTACCAGCAGTTGGCGAGCCAGGTCTGGTTGTTCGCCGCCGCCGCGACGGACCGCAGCGTCAGGCTCATCTGCTGCTCGAGCTGCCGGTAGTTCGCGGCCTTGGCCAGGTGCTTCGCGTTCTTCATGAACATGCGGCAGCGCCGCCGCAGGTCCTGGTCGAAGTTCCGGTCGCTCATCATCTCGTTCATCTCGTCCATGGTCTGCTTCCACTGGACCTCGTAGATGTCCATCGTCGCGAGCGTCGCGCAGAAGGACCCGATCGTGTAGGCCCAGAAGAAGCTCCCGAAGAAGATGAAGAAGGTCGCGACGCAGAACTCCGTCGGGTTCGTCGCCGTGATGTCGCCGTAGCCGATGGACGTGAGCGTGTAGACGGAGAAGTAGAGCGCCGCGATGTAGCGGTGCGGCATCGACGACGCGCGGAACGTCGGCCGCCCCTCGCCGCCCTTGCCCCGGGGGTCGGACTTGGCCGCCTCGAGCGCCCGGACCCAGGTCCAGGCGTCCTTCTCCGCCATGACGTCCACCAGGCCCCAGAGGCACGCCATCCAGTGGCTCACGAAGACGATGCCGAGCGCGAACGTGTACATGGAGATCTTCGCGTAGGAGATGGCGATGGACGACTCCCAGCGGGCCAGGGTCCGGTTCGCCCGCAGGACGCGGCCTAATTTCAACAGCTTGAGCAGCTTCACGAGGCGCACGGCCTTCAGCTTGTTCAGCGCGTCGACGGGGATGAGGTCGAAGGGGATCACGGAGACGAAGTCGATCCAGAACCAGCCCTTGAGGTAGCGCTTCGCGATGAGGATGCGGCTCCGGATGACCATGCCCCCGCGCGTCTCGTCCTGGTAGGGCAGGAAGAACTGGACGACGATGTCCTTGATGAAGACGACGTCGACGAGGCGGTTCAGCCACCAGATCGCCCACTGCTCCGGGTCCCCGCCGAGCTGGCGCGTGAAGCCCACCTCCACGGGCGTCACGATGGCCGTGAAGAGGAGGAAGAAGGTCGTCACGAGGTCCCAGCGCGCCATGTAGGACCCGTTCGGGTCGAGCGTGCCCCGCTGCCCGTTGCGCAGGCGGTGCCGCACGGCCGCGACCTCGAAGTGGATGTTCGTATCGTACTTGGCCGGCACGACCTGCTTGTTCAGCGCCTTGCGCAGCGGCGTCTGCGGCACGAGCCGCATCGTCGACTGGCTGCTGCCGAGCGGCCTCGCGGACTCGGCGCGGTCCGTGCGCGCCATCAGCGTGAGGCCGGCCGGGCGCTGCCTCGGCGCCGCCGGCTTCTCGAAGTGCGGTTCGTGGCTCGTGTCCGCCTCGTGGACCGCGGCTCTATGTCCATGCTCGATCGCGGCTCTATGGTCCATGCTCGCGGAGGTTTCAGGAAGGAGCGATGCCGCTTCCTGCGATCTTCCCGTCGCCGGCCCGGAGCGCGCGCTGTGTTGTCGGACGCGTCGAGTGAGCGTACGCTACCGGGTCGGCGACCGCCGCCGACCCGACACCGCGCGCACCAAGCCCGACGGGCAACTCAGCGCTCACCAGCGCGCTACAGACTCAAGAAAATTTAGGTGAACGTCGAAGGTTTGTGTCGCCGCGAACTGTGCGCCACTACTTGGTGCGATGGTTATTCCCGTGGCGCGCATGCCGCGGCGGCCATCGTCGCTCGCACCATCAGCGCGGGAGCTCGCGGACGAGATCGCGGCCCTCGAGGTGAGTCATCCCATGCCGACTCGCCGATCATCGGAGGCTGCCCATCGTAGGCCGTCATCGAGGTGCGCGCCCTCGAGGCAGCCCTCGCGGACAGTCCGCCGCCGCCGAGCTCGGCCCCGGAGGCCGACGGCGACGAGCCGGACCACGAGACGTCGCTCCTGCTCCAGCTCCACGCGGACGTCGAGGCCGCGGAGCGGCTCGTGCTCGAGCGCGAGCGGGCCGCGGCCGCCGCCGACGCGGACCACCGGCGCGTGCAGTCCAAGCTCGAGCGCGTCCAGGAGTGCGTCGCCCAGCTGCGCATCGCCATGGCCATCCAGTCCGCGGAGCACGTGCGCGAGATGGAGTGTCTGGGGTCGCAGATGCTCGCGCCGCAGGCGCTCCTCGACGAGTTCGACGGCTCCGCCGAGGGGTCGCAGCTCAAGAAGCAGATCGAGGCGGAGCAGGCCCTCGTCTGAAGCCCATCGTCGACGCGGAGCACGACTACGCGCGCACGCGCGCCGCCGTCGCCGTCGAGCACGTGGAGGCCAAGGTCCGCGACGACGCGCTCCGCCGGTCCGGCGAGCTCACGGAGGACGTGCGGAGCCGCCTCGAGCGCGCGAACGCGCGGCGCGACGTCGGCGAGCGCCGGGCGCTGGAGGCCGAGGCGCGCCTCGCCGCGCTCCGGTCGGAGATCGACCGCGAGGAGGCGCTCGTCGAGACGCTCAAAGGGAACCCGGCGGACGACTCCATGGAGCAGTTCCAGCTCCTGCGCGAGCAGCGCGAGACGGAGAAGGCCGTGCTCGCGCTGAACGACGCCCTGGGCAAGTCCGACAAGGACGTCGTCGACTTCCTCTGGTCCGTGGAGCAGGACGCGCCCTACTCGGTCGTCGCGCTCCACCGCTACCGCCGCGAGACGAGCCGCCTCCGGTCGACGATCGACCGCCTCGACCTGGGCAACTCCGGGTCGCGGGCCGAGCGGGCCAAGACCGGCGCCGACAGCCCGCCGCGCGCGGACCGCGCGGCGAGCGTCGACACGGTCCGCGACTCGGTCTCCGACCCCGAGGCCTTCGAGACCCGGTCCGAGCTCATGCCGCCGCCGAGCTTCATGTGACATACAACAGGGTGCTTATGTGCGTTGGCGGAGAAGACACAGGGGGGGGGGGGGGGGGGGGGGGGCCCCCCCCCT